CTTTTGTCAGGAGGGTACAAACTGCATCACTCTCTCAGGGCCTGAAATTGTTAACACCAGAAGACCGAATGCCTCTGCAGGGAAGGTTGATTACTTTTCCTAGAGGTCAGTGATGAGGCTTTGGTGGGAGGTTTGAGTCTTTAGCTGTTTGAAGTACAGAGTTCTGAGCAGTAAGGACCACCATGGTCTCTTCCTTTAAGCTGGGCACAAAAGAGAAAGGCACTTTGCTTGGAAGAGCCATGTGACCCACTGGGACTGCTTCTCTGTGGATTTCAGCCTTTTACTGTGGAGCCCATGAACATTTGTCTCACTTGCCAAATGAAGGTGGTCTTGTGTGAGTTCCACAAAGGAAAATGAGTATATGTCTGCTATATGAATCCCCAAATAAAAGTAATGTCATGCAGCATTCTTAGGACGAGGGGTATGTGATGAGGGTTATGTTATCATAGCAACTGACTCCTGAGGTGTCCACTCAAGGTTTTGAGAACCCTGGTCCATGCTGGGGGCTGTGGGATGTTAAACGAGACCAAGTTGGGCTTATCAGTCAGGAAATCCAGTGAAGGGCTCTATTTTAGCTCCGTTATTTCACTTCCAGGGTCTGACATTTCCTAGAGGAATCACATCAGCACCAAATGACCACATGGTAGATCAGTACATGTGCTCAGAGTGTGCCCAGCGATAAGCCAACACCCATGATCAGAATTCAGGTAAAGGTACTTCTGTTCCTTCAAAAAAAAAAAAGCCTCAGAACAAACTCCATTCCCCTTCTTTGTATCTATTTGTGGTAACTCTTTTCTTTATTTAAAAACTCACTTTTCACACTTGTCTCAAAGGAGACTTGTATTATTTGATGAGAAACAACTTTAGAAACTTTAGAAAGCAAGATCCAGAATTTTTTTTAATTAGGCAGCTAATTTGGGGGGGTAATTAGGTTTATTTATTTATTTTTAACAGAGGCACTGGGGATTGAACCCAGGACCTTGTGCATGCTAAGCATGCACTCTACGACTGAGCACACCCTCCCCCCAGAATTTTTAGATTACTGTAAGGTGCTAAAACTAGTGTGCTCCTCCCGAGATTGTGTTTATAAGGCTTTTCAGCCAAAACTAACATCTACAAAGACCACCCATCTTGGGTCAGCCTATTTGCTGGTAGCCAATGTTAAAGATTGTTTTACAAATCAGTGTTATTTCTGTATATTAGAATAATTAATTTCTGATCTTTACCTCTGAGATATTTGAAGTGCATGTTAAGAGAAATGCTTTTTGTGGGACTACTCTTAGAAGACCTGTCCCTTTTACAACTTAGACTGAGGGAAAATTATTCTCTGCAGCAGTGTTTTTTGAATATTCCCTCTGCCCCATCTCACCACTGTGCCTTAATTCTTCTGGAAACTGGAAGAAGTAGAGATGCATTAAAAATAGTGTATATGTCTCTTAAAGACCCATCAGTTATGGGAAAGGGTATTCGCTCTTCTTCCCCCAGACTAGATGTGAGTGTTAACTGCAGGATTTGTGCTGAGTACTGTCTGGCTACCAGTCTCAGTATGGCAAAGCCACGCGTTCAACTGTGAACAGAGGACAGATGGGGTGAGAACTCGGTCTGATAGTGTCCTGTGCTTTTGTTTGTACAGACTGTGTAGTTCTGTTCTTAGGGTATTTAAAGGTTGAGGAATCTGATGTTTAAGAAGGACGGGGTCAACACTGGGAAACAAGACATTTTGTTTTGAAAACCATCTGGTGAGGACGGCAGTGGGCATTCCGGATGTTCCCCTCTCCCAACAGGGGCTGGGCCTCCGGGTAGCATCAACCTCCTCTCTGTGCAGAAGACCCACATTACACATAACTGCATTGCTGACGCTGATACCCACCGGTGTGAAGGGAGAGAAGAGGAGTGAAAGTAGTGGTCGGCACAGAATAAAGCACACACTTTCCAAAACGGAGCCTCCCTTTCCACTGGAAGCACACAAGCGCTGGGAAACTGGTCTGATTAACTCTTGTGAGAGGAAATTACCGTGTAATTACAGCACTTTATCTCAGCGGTCACTTCATAGTAGGACCTTGGTGTTCACAATGAACCATGTTGAACAGAAACTACCTTAAAGAAGCCTTGCCTTGCTTAAAGCCAAGGCTGTGCTGAGAACTTAATGCTTTTTAAAAAGTGGGCCTGGCCTCCTTCACCATCCTGCAAGTTCGGTTTTGCTTTCTACTCTGGCAGTTTCTCATGAAGAAGACAACATGAACAAATGACTGCTTTCTAATGTGTGATTATTCTGGAACACTGCTTTGAGCAGCATTAAACCAAAAGATTCCCTTTCAATGTTGAATTAGCAGGAATTGAGGTGCTTGGAAGGATGATGAAAGTGACAATATACATTTGAAGGTGCGACTGCTTTTGAGGAAGTTAAGTCAGTATGCCTCACAGGCCTGGAATGGGGTCTCCTGTTTCCTTTGAAGCAGGAGTACCTCTGAGCCAGGATGGTTCCTATTCCCCAATCTCCTCCACAAAAAGGGAGTGCAGTGAACAGAATTTGGAGTACACTGGCTGAACGTTCGGCCACCACCTTCCCATGAATCCCTGTGAGCAGCCTCTCAGAAGTTTCGTTGAGTCTGGCATTGGGTCTGAATGTTCAAAGTAGCGTGGGTGGGGCTCTGCCCTGCCTGGAAACACGCTCTTCTCTCACTGGGGACTTGTCCTGCCCCATCATGCATATGTATGTGGTCCCAAGGGGTGAGGATGAGGATGGGGTGATGGAAGGCAAAGGAGAAAAAATGTAGATCAGTGTAAACATACCTTGGGTACTTGGAAAACTTTCATGTGCACAGGCCTCTTGATGGTGACTCCTAGGTGTCACCTCATGAAAAGAGGCCTCCTTGCCATTCTGTTTGAATGACATTCCTTTAGAAATCCTCATCCATTCACTGTTAACCCCGTTTGATGCAAAAAACTACATGCTGAGAATTCACCTCTTTTATTGAAAAATACAAAAATATGCCTTACTCAAAAATAAGGGGGCACTGACTTTTCCACTTATTCAGCTCATTTAATGGGCATTTGATGAAGTGCTCTTGATGCTGTGCTATGTCCAATAAGAATCTGGCAGGAAAATACTTTGGAAAGACTGTCAGGGAGACCTTGGTAATAGGGGACTACAAAATTGTTGCTGATGACAGGGGCCGATTCCAGGCCAAATGAGGCCAGGCCTGAGGGAGGCAAGGGCAGAGGAGCCACCCAGGTGACAGTGGCTCCAGAAGACCCCCATCTCCAATCAGATTCCAGAACAAGGGTGCCATTATAGGGCCCATCCAAGATTATGCCCACAGGGTTGCTCAGGGTGACAGGGGGCATATTTTTGAACATTAATGCCCTCTGATGTCTCCTCCACTTGACCCTCCTATTCTTAAACCAAACCTTCAATTAGAGGGAAAAAAGGGATTGGTTTAGTATATTGAGCAGTTAATGTCATAATAAATCCCCCTACAACATACAACCCTTTATGCCATTGCTTTTGTAAACTCCACTGGGAGAAGCTGTTTCTTTATTAGTAAATATCTTGGGAAAGTTACCACCACAGCCCCTTCCTTTCAGTTCACCCTCAGTGAGCACCAACTATGTATCAAGCTTTTAACTACACTTCTTGTTTTGTCTCTCTCCTCCCACCTTTAGTATTCATTAATGGCTTTTCCAGCTCTCCGATGCAGGTCTAGCTGATGAATTGTGCCCAGTCTTGCTGTTAATGCTATGCCTGGTAACGGAATGAAAAAATACCATATTTTGACAGCGGATCATCAGCCATCCAGGTGCCTCTGCCCTCTACTCATTGGGATAGTTTCACCCTGGGTGTGGGGGAGTGGAGCATAGGAAAAGCTCCTTCAGTCGGAACTGAATATTCAATAGGAGCAGGTTGGATTTGTAAACAGATTTCCCTCAAGGATACCTAAGGGGTCATTCATCCTCTGAAACTTCTTGAGAGTTAAAAAGATGGTCTGATAAGGAAGGCCTGGTTATGGAGGCCCCAGCGGGTTGTGGCTTGTCTTACTGGGACAAAAGAGTTGCTGACGCCCTGGACAAAGCCTTGATACTTCAGCCTATAGAGTTGAGGAAAATAGGCCAAATTGGGTCCAAGTTCACTACCACTCACCACCACCAGACCTGCAGCCCATTTCCATCACTGCACTCACATATGCACCGTGGAGCAAAACTAATAAGCTCAGCTTGAATTGTTTTTGGATGAATACTCCTTTACTGCAGCTTATGCTTTCTGTGGTCTCAAACAGTTATCTTTTGACCTACAAATCAGTCATCACTGCCTAAGCAAATGAAAAAGTATGTCAAATTAACACAGGTAAGAATCTGGCCTGAATGGAAATCTGTGTCCCCTATCAAATTCCCCCAAACCCACCTTTTCAAAACAGTACCATCAAAAATATCTTTAGATGTTAGAAACTCCTCAAGAGAATATTCACTCATAAAGTTCAATTTGTACAACGTCTGCCAGGTATATGTTTGACTGTATGCAATTCTTCCCTAACCTTTTCACCCTTAGCTCAGTGGAACTGTATTCAAAATTGTTCTTGTTTCAGTTTTTAGACAAATTTCCTGTTGCAAACCTTCCTTCCACTCTCCATCATAATGTTTAGCAATGTTTTCAGGCCAACACATCAAAGCATTACAGAAAATTAAAATGTAGGGCTGCCACTTACTACACTGCTTTACTGCAGACTAAAAACAAATGGCAGGAGTACCAGGCGCTTGGACTTTTAAGCTATCTCCCCACATCAGTCTCAGCGTAACTAAATACTTATCTCATATAGTGTGTGTGAATATTTATAAATTCACTCATTTAGCTAAGAACTTACAGTTTTCCATATTTTATGTAATTTAATACAATTGAACCCTCTCATATCCTAGCTCCTTGGTACATTAATGTGCATGCTCTCTGGATCAGACTGAGCCCCAGCATAACTCCACACAGAAGTGCTCCCTAGAGAATACCAGTGTTAGAAGGAATTGAACTTTATTTAGATTTAATTTTGTTCAAGACATAGGAGAAACAGTTTGGTTCTCTTTTATTTTCTTTTTCCCTTAGGAAATTATGTTACTTCTGATAATGGACAATTTCCATAAACTGGGGTTTAATTATCTAATTTTCCACTTGCCAAAACCCCCAAAGTTCAAAACTCATTTCCCAAACATGGAAAAGGCATCAAAAACAACAACATGAGAATGTCTAGAACAAAAGTATCCAAGTCCTGAGGCAGGCTTTACAATGGCTACTCTGGCAAGTTGTTTTTTTCAGGCTTGCTGACCTGCCCTTCGGCTTCAGTCACATCCATGCGTATTGTAACATCCGTTCTGAGGGGACAAAATCGCAAATATTCAGTATTTGGAGTTGTAGATGAAATTAGATATACAATGTACATTTTATGCTTGTTTTAAAATTCATATTCTCCCAAATGCCTGGGGAACATATTTCTGTAATACCCAGCTCCAGGCTTTCTTTAGAACAATTTTCTTCTGTGTGCAAATTTTAAGTGCTGAAAAGCTCAGTATTCAAGACTACGATTTTTTAATGCAATATTTCAACATTTAACAGTAAACATGAACATTTGACATAAATTTAACCTTTTAAACAATATTTAAACATCAAGAATAAATGCACAAAAATTTTAAATAAAGGCAAGATTCAACCCTGCATTTGCACAGCAGTGCCTCACTCTCCTCACCCTGATCTAAATCCCTATCCAGTGGAATGCTATTCACAGAAACAAAAGTGCAGCCAGTTTCCCTATTTAATTCATTTATACACTGCACTGCTTTGACTCGGGAGCGGGGGTGGGGTGGGGGGAGCGGGGGGTACGGGGGGGTGGTGGAGACAGCCAAAGGCGTTGGGGGAGGAGCGCTAGAGCTCTAGAAAATGGGCGCCTCGAGAGCTTGCCGCTTACCGTGCGAACACGTCGGGGTACTGGCTGCGTTGGAAAATTCTCTCCAGATCCTTCAGTTGCACCCAGCCATACGGGTTGCAGGGGAAGAACAGCTGGCTGCCCTCGCGTTCCGGATCCTCGGTGGCCGCGTGGGCCAGCTCCTGCTCCTGCTGCGGGGATTCCTCACCGCCGCCGCCGCCGCCCTTCTGGGTCTCGTCGTCCATGAGGCCGGGAGCTCCCGCGCCTACATGGCCTTGTTCTGCTGCTGCTGCTCCCTGCTCAGGTTCGGGCCGTGGATCTTCCTTGACAGCTTTTCCCGTTACGATTACCGAGGTCGCGGCGGTAGGCTTCGTATCTGGAAAGGAAAAAGAGAGATGAGAGCGCTGGAGCCTAGGGTGAGCGGGGCAAATGGAGGGCGCAAGCCCACGACCTGAGAGTAGCGACGGCGGCCGCGCAGCAGCGGCGTCCTGTCCACTCGCCGCTCCCGAGAAAAGTACGTTTCCTAGAGTTAGCCAGCGAACAGTCCCGATCCCGGCACTGACCATGCGGTTCTTCCTGGAGCTCCTCGACTCCCAGGCTGAGGTAACCGGCGTCTTCGTGGCTGCGTCTGGGCGGAGGCTCCATGTCTCGAGCGCTGTCGATGAGCCTCTGCAGACTGCGCAGCGGCCCGCGGCGGTCCGGGGGTCGGATCCTCTTTCTGGCGCCTGGTCGGGTTATAGCGTGCCTGCTGTAGGTTCCACGGCCACACGCTGGCGGTTAGGCGTCTGCGTTCGGTATTCCCGCTGCCCCCCTGCAACGGTGCGTGCGGTGGGTGGGACCCACAGGGGCGCGCACGAGGCCGGGGCGTGGCCATAGAGAAGCAGGGTGCGTGCGGTCCTGCCGGGGCGCGGCGGTTGGGGGAGTTGGAGCTCCAACTTGTGGCTTAGCTGACTAGTCCCTGCTCGGGCGGGGTGACTGCCCTGAGGAAGGGGCTTTGCTGCACTGCGCGAGCCGACTTGGGGCTGGGGAGGGGCGGGGAACCAGACCTCACTCGCCTCCGAGCTCGGGAGCAGTGTTGGGAGAATGTCTCTCCGCCTGACTCTTGACGGGCGCAGCTCCGTTGCTCTTAGTTCCCCCAGAGCGAGAGAGTTGCAGAGATGGGGCTGGAGAAAGCGCGAGGTCCCCAGCAGCTCCAGCTAGCTGAAGCGACGGTCGTCCCCCTTGTCGCGTGGGCTCTAAGCACGACTCTTCCCTCTGGGAAGTTGGTAACTAATGGATGAGACTTTGGTTCTGTTCCGCTCGCCCCCAAATTGTACAGATCGGGCTAGTGATTCAGATGAAATGATTAGGTGGAAGACTACTTGCTGAGTTTTTGCTATAAGGAGCTGAAAGTAGAGCCTTCCACGCTCCCTGGGGGACACTGGGGAGCGGGAGCTTGGGGTTTGGTTTGCTCAGATGCCCACTGCAAGAAACCCAACCCGCCCCTTGCAATTGCAACAAGTACTCCAGATTTGTAGCAATGAACCCACGTCAGAGTACAACTGTAGAACTCTGCCCAGCATGCTTACACTGCATGTGACCCTGGACCCGACAGTGGAGCAAACAGCATCTGCTATGCTAGGCTCCGTTACCGCGCCTCAGGCTGCAGGTTGTCTGCAAAAGTGCACGCGTTTCCCGTGCTGGGCGGGTGCTGTGGACTTAAATCTATTCCCCCTTCTTTGCCCCTCCTCCTCCCCTGTCTAGGACTGTTTTCCTGAGTTCTTGTTCTCTGCCTTGCTCACCTCACCTACAGAGATCAATTTTGGCTTGGAATCAGTTATAACATGAGAGACGTACAGTGCTTATGATCATTGTGTGCCTTACCCTAGCTAGGATATCCGTTACAATTTGGGTCGTTTGATATCTTTTTGTAACTACTTTGTGAAAGTAGTGCTATAAATAGTCACTTAAGTAAGGTTTATATAGCGGTAACCAAATGTAACTAGAATGAGTAGGTGAAAGCAGGAAGCTGGAAAACACTTTTTTTATCGAGCCCAACTTCATATTTCTCATAGAAATAACGTGTTAATTTTGTCTATTAAATAATGTGTCTGCATTGACAATTTGTAGTATCTAGGTAATTACCTATCTGGAGATAACTGGATATAACTAGAAGCCTACTTGAAGCAAGGATTTTGAAAAGCATTCTTCTTAAATCAATATTTAATTTCTTCGAGAAAAGAAGTATTTAAATGTAGGTAATTAGGGCTATCCATGTAACTTTAACTAGAGAAAGCTATAAATAACTGAAAAACTGCTTAAAACTCCAAAGCTGAGAATTTTTCATCACTAGGGAGATATTTAGAGATTTTAGAGATGATCATTTTTCTTGGAGGAATGTGCTACATAAAGTAAACAGAGGTAACTAGGTTTATAGTTAACTCTGGCTAACTAGAGGTAAGTAGAATAAGTAGTTAAAGGTGGGACCTGGACAACACAACCTTCTGAATTATAAATTCTTATTCTTGTTGAATAATGACATAGATATTCAATTGTACTTTTGTTAACTAGTGAACTAGAGATTAGTAGAGATTAAAAATTTTTTTGAATTCACAATTCTCTTGTTTGACCAACAAATTAGTGACATAGATATCTAGTGGCTTCTAGATTATTAATAACTCAAGGATAAATGCTGATACCCAGAACAACGGGTTGAAACCAGGATGCTGAAAAACAGTGGTTGAATCGAGGAATTTGAATAACCATTCTTTATCAGTCCTACATTGTTATCTACTGTTGCGGTAATGACTTAGCACTATAGACAACTATTCGTACCTAGGTAACCAGTTTAGTAGGGATAACTAGAGATAGTCAGGAAATCTGTTTGACTCCAGAAGTTAAAAAAAACATTCCTCACCACCCTAAATCTTATCTCTTGTGGAAACAGTTAGCACTTATAGATAAGTACTGGTAACTAGGTAAGTAGTTAATTACAAATAGCTACAGATATCTAGTTGAAATTGGAATTAGGAAACCACACAGTCTTCTCAATCCAAAATTCTTACTTCTCACTGAAATAATACATCAATAGCATAGATAATTAGCATCAATCAGGTGAATACTAGAGATCTAGAAGAATGGTTTGAATCTAGGGACCTGGAAAGCACACTTTCTTATTTCTAAATGCTTTTTTAAAATATTAAATTAGTATTATAGATAACTAGATTTACTTAGGTAAGATTGAAATAGAGATAACCAGATAGCAGGAAGAAAGCAGTTGAAGCCAGAAAGTTAAAAACCAGAGTGTTTCCCAGTGTTAATCTTAATTCTCACTGGAATAAGGAGTTAGTACTAGTACTACACAACCAGTAGCACCTAGGTGACTATACAGTTAAGAGATAGGCAGACTATCTAAAATAAGTAGTTGATGTTAGAAGATGAGCTATCAGTCCTTCTGCACTCTAAATTCTTTTTTTCCTGGTGTATTAATGAGTTAGTACATTAGATAAATAATGATACTTAGGTAACCAACTTAATATAGAAGAATAATTACCCAGAGCCCTGAATTGGAAAAAATCCTTTTCAGTCTAACTTATTATTTCATAATGCTGTAACTCAAAAGTGATACCTATGAAATTAGTTTACAGGCAGTATGTAGAGATAACTGGAAATACTTGTTTTAGACAGGAAGCTGAAAAAACATTTTTTTCAAATCGAAATTATCATTTTTTTTTGTAGGAATAAGGTGTTAGTATGATAGATATGTAGTGATACCTCGATGATTAACTGTAGATAACTAATTAATGATAACTAGAATAACCAGTCAAAGCTAAAAAGCTGATAATCATGATCATCTCATGTCTACATTCTTATTTCCTTGTTGGAATAATGAGTTAATTAAAGAGCTGTCTAGTGGGATCCAGGTAATTTTTAAACTAGTGATAACTACAGAAAACCAGAAAAAAAAAAGATTGTAAGTTGCTGAGCTAAAAAAAAAACTTCTCAAACTTAAATTAATATTTCATGTTGGAACAAAATATTGTCCTATATATAACTAGTAGTGCCCTAGGTAACTACTTTACTAGTGCTAGCTAGATGTGACGAAAAAATCCACGGAGTTGTAAAACCATTCTTCTAGACACAAACTTCTTATCACTTATTGGAATAATCAGTGAATACTAGAGATAACTACTATAATCTGGGTAAGTAGTTAAGTAAAGCTATAAAGCCATCATGCTTGAGGCCAGGCAATGGAAAAAAAGATTTTTCACACATCTAAGTTTTTATATTTTGTGGAATTAATGCATTAGTCTAGTAGAAAAGTAGTCACACTTAGGAAACCATTTTACTAGAGGTATCTACATATAACTATGGTTGAATTTAGGATGCTAAAAACCCCACTTTTCTCAATCTAAGTTTTTATTTCTTTTTGTAATGTGGAAGTAGTGATGTAAATAACTAGAGTTACCTATAAAAGATTTGTACTGAGATAACTAGATATAACTAGAATGAGGAGCTGAAGGCAGAAAGCTGAAAAACATTTTTTCTCAAATCCAATTTTGTATTTCTCATTGAAAGAACACCTTAGTAATATAGATAACTTGTGGTACCTAGGCATCTAGAGATAAAGGCATCAAGAGGTAATTGGATTCTGCCTAATAAAAATGAAAAAAAAAAGAGAAAAAAAGAGGTAACTGGAGAGAACTACAAACTTACTCACGTTAGGATGTTGAAAACACATTCTTAAGTGCAACTTCTTATCTCTTCTAAAGTCAAGTATTGGAAATTTAGACAATGGGTGGCACCTAGGTTAATATTTAACCAAAAGGAACTATAAATAACTGGAAGTTTAGTTGATGCCCAAACACTGAAAAACATATTTCTCATCTTTAAGATATTTTTAATTAAAGAATGAGTTATATCTATAAATAATTAGTAGTAACTGGTATATAATTAACTTGAGATAAGTAGAATAAATAGTTAAACTTGTGAATTTGGAAAACAAAACCTTTCAAAATATAAGTTCTTATTTCTCTTTGTTATAATGAATTACTAGTATAGATATTCAATTGTACTTTTAAAATTACACACCTAGTGTTGACTGGGGAAAAAAAAGCACAGCCTAAAAGTTGAGAATTATGTTTTATTCAGTGGACTTATAGAGAAATTAAGCCTGGGAGACAGCTTCTCAGATAAGCTCTGAGGAACTGTTCCAAAGAGGTAAGGGAGGAGCCAGGATATATAGGAGATTTTGCTGAAAATAAAAAGCAAAAATCCGTGTCCAATGTCAAAAGATTACTGCTAATCACAAAACGCAGACATGTCGAGTTAAGGATTTTAGTGCTTTTCTAAGTATGGAAAGATGCAAGAATCTGAGCTCATTGAAATCATTCCTTTGATATGCACCTTAACTATCTAGGCCAGTATGCTGTTTCTCTCCATCCTGAATCCCTTCAGGGCTGCATTGGCTGATGGCTTGAAGGCCCCAACATCTTTTGTTTACTGAGTTGGCAGGCAACATCTTTTGTCCACAAATGCTAATGTCATTTACCTTTATTTTATAACTTGTGAAAATATAATCATATCAAGTTAAATTTTTTTTGCTGATAAATTCTGTAATAGAAAAACATGAATTTACTGACCTTTAGTAAACCTAGGTACAATAAAATTAAGACATGCTTGTATGATTAAAACAACAAGTGTAAGCTAGTTTTAATATCAGATATTAATTTAGTATTGAATATGTCCTAGATCACGTGAACCTGAAATTCATTCTGGACAGTTTCCTTTATTTTTAGAAATTTGTAATTTGTAAGTGCTTACTTTTAAGCGCTT